GACCTGCTTTGATACGGTAACTGCCCTTGAATTTTTACAAGATAATATTTTTGTTCGCTATGGAGATTCCGTATATCGTCAAGTTATCAGAATTCCAATGGGGACTTACTGTGCACCACTTACTGCGGACCTGTTTCTGTATTGTTATGAGTTACAATTTATGACTAAAATTAGCAAAGACCTATCGAAACAACATTTGATACAAAAATTTAATAACACTTTTAGATATTTGGATGATATATTGGCTCTCAAGAATGACGACTGCAGTATGTACACAAAAGAGATTTATCCTTCTGAATTGACTTTAAATAAAAGCTAATACTATCAATGAACACTTCCCTTTCCTGGATCTTTATATCTATATTTTTAACGGGAAGCTTAATACCAAAATTTATGATAAAAGAGATGATTTTTCATTTCCTATTGTTAATTATCCATTTTTAGACGGTGACGTTCCCTTCTCACCATTTTATGGTGTTTATATATCTCAACTTGTTAGATTCGCTCGTGTATGTAACAACGTATTTGATTTTAACGAAAGAAACCTCTGTATTACTGAAAAATTATTACACCAGGGTTTTCGATATCACAAACTAGTCAAAACATTTACTAAATGTTATCATCGGTACAAGGATATCATTCGTAAATATAAATCAACATGCAGACATCTTATACGTTCAGGTATTTCACATCCAATATTTTATGGTAATATTCTATACAAAACACAAAAATGTTGACTTTCACCTCAAAAGCTAACCAAACCTTTAAACACTTATTCAGAAGGGATATAGTTACGATACTGTTGTCAGGTCATTAAAGATGGCATATTTTGTAATTAATATTGATTCACTCATAGGGTTTTTGCATCGGGAAATAAACACATGTATTCTAAAACCAGTTGTTGGCATTATACGGGTTATGTCTTTCTCATATATTTTATGATGGTATAATACTAAACCCCTAACGGGAGGGATTGTGCTTGATTTTCATATGATCTTTCAATCAGTTTAATTGAGGTCTGGAGCTGTCATGTCAGTAACTGCTAGTAGTCCTTTGTTATTTTATGTATCATTGTCATTTTGCTTAGTTTTTTGTTACCTATTCTGACATCAGACTCGGACTTCTTTTAAACTGAGTTTTACTGTGCGTATTGCTGTGTGTTTGTATATTTTACATTGGTTAGAGGTATAGGGAAGGGTTGAGATCTCACAAAACATGTTTAACCCCGCCGCATTTTTGCGCCTGTCCCAAGTCAGGAGCCTCTGGCCTTTGTTATTCTTGTTTGTTTTTTAATTTTTGTTCATTTAAATGTTTGTAGTTTAGTGTGACGTCCATTTTCACTGAACTAGTATACATTTTTGTTTAGGGGCTAGCTGAATCCTCCGGGTCCGGGATTTTCTCGCTGTGTTGAAGACCCATTGGTGGCCTTCGGCTGTTTACTGCTCTTTGGTCGGGTTGTTGTCTCTTTGACACATTCCTCATTTCCATTCTCAATTTTATTTTGAGGTTGTTAAATCTAACACTATCTATTTTATCTGTTACTACAACGTTCGCTTACCTCAACATTTCTGACTGTTTCCACTGTTCAATATGTAGCAGATTTTAAAAATAATGCTATGTTTATGGATTTTTACAAACCATAGTATCAAAAGAAAGCTGGCAGAGCTCATTTGCGTCGAGGTCACAGAATTATTTAATAGTCAGGAGGATGAGAATGGACTTCTCCATCTAGGGTCAAACGCCTGTAAGCATCAAATAAGCATGAAAATTTTATATTCAATCTTCAAATCGCATTTTGTCAGTTACCGTTTGGGTTAAATGATGTACATAATTTATCGTTATTGTTAATTTTAGCAAATTGTACATTTAATCCCGTACCATTCTCAGTCAGGATTATATATATACCCATTGGCTGGTCGACTAACCTGCACAGGGATCACTTCGACGACGTTAAAAGTTTGAAACAGTTTTAAGCCAAAAGATTGACAATGAGAAACAGTAGACAATTTCAAAAGCAAACCAGACTCTTTCAAAACGGGAGATGTCGTCACGTGCTTGTTGCATAGAATGTTTTCAAGAAGTATGGGAATCCGCCATCTTGGATAGGAAAAAGCAGGAAACAATCTCTCTTGATTTTTGATGAACTACGCAAAATTTGAAAATGTTTGTAAGAATTTTTATTTAATAGAAGAACATTATGTGAATTTATCTAATTACTAGTAATACGAACTGTAAATAACACTTTATAAATTGGTGTGTTTGTAGGTAACCCTTCACCAGAACGACTCTTTTAACAAATACAGACTATATTGATAATGATTGATTTAAAAAATATATATACTGGCCTTATTACAATCCCATCTTCCTTTTCCCCGAATGTGACCCTTGGTATCTTTCGCCCTCTCAGAATGCGAGGCATAGGTAATACAATCCGACAGCAGCGGAAACGGCATAAACTGTTTGTTTAAATCTTTATATTTTAGAAAGTAGGAGACCTGGATGCTTCATACCTTGTATGCAGATACCTTATGTAACGAAGTTTCTGTCTTATGTTTATGTCCGTTGTCCTTGGTCTCATTTTCATGGTTTAACGACTGCTTATTTTTTTTATATATTTATTTTTTTTTTTTGTAATGTGAATTTCTCACTTCTTATGAGTAATATGATAACCATATTTGGTAGAAGGGTTCCTTGCGAGGTTTACATGTCTGTCAGATCCACCTGCTATCGACCTCATTTCATGGATCAGTGATCAAGGTTGAATTTACATGGTCAAGTCCGTATATATTTACTATATACTATCTACTATATTTGGTGTATAGAATGATTGTAAAGTGTACGTGTCTGACTGGCAGGTTTCATCTTACCTGACCTCATTGTCATGGTTATTTTTTTCTGATTTGGTCTATTTGTCAGATACTATAATCAATAGGTAAACTATATGCTGTATATATAATGATTGTAATGTGTATATGTCTGTCTAACAAAGTTTGTCGGACCTTGACCTCATTTTTATGGTTCATTAGTCAATGTAAAGGTTTCATGGCTATGTGTGTTTTTCAGATACTGTAAGCAATAGGTCAACTATATTTGGTATATGGAATGATTTCATTGTGTACATGTGTGTCTGGCAGGGTTCATCTGACCTTGACTTCATTTACATTGATCATTGATTATGTCAATTTTATTTGAACCTTGTAGTCAAACCTTCATATTACAAACTTTCAACATGAATTCAATCATAATGAGTAAAGCAGGCGAGACATTTCATTATGTTCTCTCTCTTTTCTAATCACTTAATAATTCTTTTCTCTAAATAATCTGTACAAATTGCGTCAAACTTTGTAAACCCTGTAGCTTGAAAACAAGCTCGGCAGTGACCTATGACTTTATCATACTTTTGAAAACAACAATATATAAGCTTCATTTTTTCATAGTATGAAAAATGTTAACACGATTTTCTATACCTCCATTATACCTTAAAAACATTTACAATGTTTACTTTTAATTTACGTATTCATATAAAACATTGAATGCATGCAGCTGCTGTTCCATGGGAACATCATCATAATTATAAAGGGGAGGAGTCAATACGATCGATTTTTATCTTGCGAATAGTTACTGGTATAGCATATTTTCAATTTGAAGTGTACATCATATAATTTGACGAATTATGTAGGAAATAGTTTCATCAAATAGACAAGCAGCTGACTTTTTCTACAGCAACATGGGTGTGTGTATTTATAACCAATTTATATAAATACTGGATGAATGTTACATTTAATAGTAATTGATATATTGACAGTTTGTTCTTTAACTTCGTGACAATGTTAAAGAAATTCGTATTCCTACTTATTGTGTGTGTCTTAATGGTTCTCATGTGGATAAATAAGTCATTTAATAGCCCAATTATGTTCGTTGAAAACGAAACGCTTCATGGAAGACAGTCCGAATTTACATTTGGAGATCGTCTTAAGATATCTGCATTCAAGAATGATAGCAAAAAAACAACAGAAAATGTTGGTTTTATAGTTACCGATGCAACAAAATTGTTTAAAATGCAAACAAATTCCACAACACAAACTTCAACAATGGATTCAACGACGACGCCGGTATCCACACAGCTTGAACAATATACAGATCAAGATATTGATACAAATCTTCAGTATTCCAAATCATCCCAGTCTTTGTCTGTAACAATTCGTTCTCATCTGATAAAAGGAATTGATCCAGGATCGCATGGAAATTATATACATGACTGTGAGAAAATACAGATAAAACGTGCGGAGGTATTGTCACTTACAGACCGCGAGAAGAAGCGAGTGACAATTTGTGTTAGTAATTATCTATTGGATTATAACAAAGGAAATGCAATTTGGTCAGGAAACAAAGCTGAAATACGTTGGAACAACCATACTTTCCTTGATTATAGAAGTTCAGTCCTGGACATCGGTGGTAATACTGGAATAGATGCAAGTCATATCATTTCGTTATTTAAACCGAAGCGTTATATTATTCTAGAACCGTTAAAGCTATACTATGACCGTTTGGTAAAAACATTTTCATCGGAACATATTGTTGAAGTTTTTCAGTTTGGTGTAGGTAACAAAAATGTCAAATTAAATATGTCTATTATTGGACCAAATGGTGAAGGCTCGTCCGTTTTTAATAAACAAACAACAAATAAAAAAACAACAATCCAGCTATTCAACATTACTCAGATTTTTGTGCGGTTAGGTTTTAGTTGTGAAAAACAACTTGATCTATTGACTTTAAACTGTGAAGGGTGTGAATTCGAAGTAATAGAAGAACTTTTAAAAACAAATATACTCAATTACATAAAAAATATACAATTTGCGACTCATTCAACCTTAAAATATTTGAAAGATCCAAAATACAGGTATTGTAGAATACAGGAATTATTAACTAGGACACACAAGTTATCTTACCAGTATAAGTTTATATGGGAATCATGGAAAAGGCAAGATCTTGTAAAATAATAACAGGTTGCTTCAGCTAATTTTATTTAAAATTAGTATTATAAAATACTGAACTTAAAATAAAAGCTGCAGAAAATTATAAGTCAGAATTTTAAAATAAAAACCACGACATTCTTTCTGAATTATTTTGAAAAGAAATTGAGACCTGTATATCATAACTATTTTCACATTCACATTCTAAGAAAAGTAAAGAACCGCAAAAGAAATATCATTTTATGCAATTAGAAGAATTTACATATTACATGGACATCAACCTGTCTACGCATGATGACGTATAAAAAGGCAACAAATATCTTGTGATATTTCACATATTGGAATCGTTTAGTTGAAATGTAATGGAAACGGGTAGATATCTTTAACTTATATTACATGAAAAATAAAACCAAGAGCGTGAATAAAATATTATTTGTCAATTTTTATTGAGAAAGTACAGACAAAACAATAAACAAAACAAATCCTAACACAAAACCACTTTTTTGGCATAAACAAATTCAAACTAAAACAAAACAAATAAACAAAAACGAACAAATGTGTTTTTTGTTTTTTTAAATATTTAATACTCGTTATCAAACAATGATTATACTGTTTTGAATCTTCTTATCCCACGACCGCGTCGGTTGTCTCGTGTTCCTTCGAGTGCGCAATGCCGTGGGTTCGAATCCCGGCCGGGTCAAACCAAAGACTTTAAATTGGTATTTGCTGCTTCTCCGCTAAACACGCGGCATAAAAAGGAATAAGTGCAAAAACTGGGAATAATGTGTACGGGTAAGGGGACACGTCTTCCTGCGGACTGTTTACCTTGTGAACTAGGACGTTTAAAAGTCCGGGTCAGTGTTTCAGTCTAGTAAATGATCATCATCTATCCATCCATCATCATCATCGATCATCGATCATCGATCATCATCATCATCATCATCATCACCACCACCACCACCACCACCACCACCACCACCACCAAAACCTACGAAGTTTTACATACTCTAAAATGTTTTATATACATGTATATAATAACCATTACAATAAAGGTTTGATATGACTCTTCTGTGTTTTAAAAAGTACTTTCTCTAATTCTTCGTCAATTTATCACTTTCTGCACCCATTGAATAACAAAATTTAATCAACGTGGTTCGTTTGATCTCAGTTCTTCATTGGTTAAAATCCGATTATGACGTTGAATTCTCTTGCTTTCCTCTGAATTTCCTATTGTGACGGCATGAAAAAAGGCGACCATGCCTGATGACGTCACATAAAAAGAACACATCTTTTTGCAGATCATTCGAAAAGAAGGAATAAGTTTGCCTGCATATTGTTTGAAAATCATTAGAGAAACAGATTCCACCACCAAATCTCGTGTAATACGATATTTATCCACTCTCGACAGTTAAATTTTAAATATTTAAAACGCTCGGCGAGCCTCGCGTTTTAAATTTGAAAATTTAACTGTCTCGAGTGGATATATATCGTATCACACTCGATGCAGTGGTAGAATCTATATTTCTATGGTGACAGGATTCAACAGCGAAGAAATGTTTCGCTTTGTTGACGTTGTGGAAAATAAACAATTAAAGTAAACATAGTAATCTAAATCATTGCATTTGTGTATTTCACATTCATTAAACGTCACAACCATTGCATGCACTTTGTAGTGGAAAACATCCACATAAAATAATACTTCGCATTCATGTCTATATAAAGAAGGGATTCCTGGAAGACCTATAGTTTCAGCCAATAGTCACTCTACAGATCGTCGACTTTATCTAACGCAAATTTTGCAGATCTAACATTGTTGGGCTAAATTTGAGACGAAGCATATATATAAATTGTGGTGTTAGCCCTGTATAGTCACAGGTTATCCGATGGAGAACGTCTGTCGTAAATTTAGACGTATATGATAAAATTAAAATTTGATGTGATGGCATGGTAAGTAAAACTATCATCATGTACGACAGACAAAAAAACAGCTGATCTACAAGGTTTACCATATACTTGCCACTATACATCATTTACTGTGTTACAACCGTATATAAAGCCGACAGGAAAGGCATTACTCTACTAAAGAAAGCTATATTTCTATATAGCCTAGTTGGTCGATGGGTCTAGGGCGCTGGACACAGTGCAGACGGTGTTGTCACGATGTCTCAGATGCAGGGGTTAAAATCCCGCTGAGGGAAGAACAACAATTTGGTAACGCAAATTTGTAGAACTTACATTGTTGGACTTTTGAGACGAAGTATATAACTAGTATAGAGTTATAAATGTTAATTTTAATCAATAGATGCGTTTTTGTGTGTTTGTTTTTTAAATGCAATGCACTTTATCGACTTTATTGCTTACTGAGCATATTCACTGTACAAGTAGAAATAAGGGGTTTTTTTTTATCAAGGAATAAAATAACAATTTTATTTTTTATTTTTCATAAGCGATCATCTGTTGGTTCAACATAACCTTTGATAAAGGTATATTGAAGTCAATATTCGACAGTCATGAAAAAAAAATCATAATTACAAAGTAAATAACTACAATGAACATTACTTGTTACAAAGTAAATTACTATTAACCCTTTGCTCTCTAAGTAAATTACTATAAACCATTTGCTCTCTAAGTAAATTACTATAAACCATTTGCTCTCTAAGTAAATTACTATAAACCATTTGTTCTCTAAGTAAATTACTATAAACCATTTGTTCTCTAAGTAAATTACTATTAACCCTTTGCTCTCTAAGTAAATTACTATTAACCCTTTGCTCTCTAAGTAAATTACTATTCAGCCTTTGCTCTCAAAGTAAATTACTATTAACCCTTTGCTCTCTAAGTAAATTACTATTAACCCTTTGCTCTCTAAGTAAATTACTATTAAGCCTTTGCTCTCAAAGTAAATTACTATTAACTCTTTGCTCTATAAGTAAATTACTATTAACACTTTGTTCTCTATTCAGTATGTCAAATTTCACTTTATATAAAAACTCTTATAAGTTTTAATGAACAAAAGAAAAGACAAGAGCACGGCTATCATTCGGTATATCGTAAACAAATGATCGTGAAAGAATAAGTAACGGTGGTCAAGTATTGTGGTTGGATCGTGAAAGATCTGGTATAGGATCGTGAAGGAAATCTTATCGAGAAGACACATGCAATGTAGAAGATATGATGCTGGATCTGCCTCCTCAACTAGTGTCATGTTATCTTGCAGTATCTGTTTTAGGTCAACTACCCAATTGTTAATTTCAGTGTATTTTCTTTTGTGTTGGCGACTTTTACTACCTGCTGAGTATTGGATGATTCTAACCTCGCTAGCTGCTTGCTGTTTCTTCAATTATAGATACAATGAATAAGCGTTGATTCTTGATAAAGAAACCATGAGCCCGGAGGGCGAATGGTTGTTTGGACTTAGGTCTTCTGTTTCGTAATGGTTCCAATGGTGGCGGTGGCGATTAGACTCAACTCAGTATTCGGTGACATTGCCTGTAAACTCTCAAGGTGTTGATGTGTACGTTGGTTTCTTCGATTTCTTCTTATGCATTCAACCAAACATCCTCTATGTGCTACATAGGTACAAGTGGAAGAACTGCTACACTTCTAACCATTATGTTGATGTCATTGTTGTTCTTGTAGTGGGTTTGAAGACCAGTATCCTGTATATTATATGGATATTCTGGGCATTTGCCGTTGAATATTGTGTGTACATGTCCCTATCGCAATTGTTTAACTCTGTTTTCAATGTTCAGAAACCGAGTTGATAGTTCCGGTTTGGCAACGCTTTTTCTTGGTCAGTTTTTTGTTATTGAATCGAATAGTATTGTTTTGGGTAATTTGAAGTTATTTTTTTAACTTCTGCGATACACCGGCATACCAGGAGGAGCAGGAATAATCAATGTGACATTGAATAAGAGATGCTGTAAGCGTTTATCGGGTTTCTGTGGACCGGTAATTTGCCCTACATAAATTTTAGTCTAGAATTTACCTTTTGAATGATGGATCGATTGATTGTTGGTTGCTTAACATCCAGTGGCAAATATTTTATGCATGTTCAGGATGAGAACAAATTAACAATAAATACAATAGATAAGTCCTGTAATCGATGATGGAGTCAAATGTGCTCACTCCAGATAGATTTTAATCAATTTGTAGGGCCAACTTACAGTTGCGACTTTATTACAAGATTTTTACATTTTACCTCAAATTTGTTACTTGCTTTAGTTTTCGTTTCGGCCCAAAGATGAAACATTTTGTTTTTGCTTAAATGTAAGGAAAGCTTATTGTCAACAAGACAGCCACTACAAGACGCCAATTCATTTCCTAGCTTTGGTGATATAACATAGAAGATCTGCAGATCTTACATTGTTGCGCTACATTTCAGACGAAGTAAATGTAAAGTGTGGTGTAAGTCTTGTATAGACACAGGTTTAGCTTAAACAGTTCAGCGCACTTTGCTCTATAAGTCCATTAGATGGTCCTTTTTTATATCAATAATCGATGCCAAAGATCCGAGATGCACATTCCCGTATGTCATCATAAAGTATGTTTCGACTTGTTTGAGAAACAGATGTAACGATTCGTCAGATAAATAAAGTCTTAATCTGGGCAGCACCTTCTAAAGCCTCTTAAGATTTTGCAAACACATGCCTCAAAATTTTTGACATCCTTGTAAAACCATTGATGTTGTATGATTATATATTAGGTATTGTGTGTCCACTATTAACGGTTGTAATGAAGTCTGCGTGAACTGCGAGTACTCTCAGATCTGTACTTTGTGTCTTTTTTGTTGTTAGGGATATATAAATACCCTGCCACGTCCGGTCTGTGTTTTTGTTAGATGTTTTTCTGCTTTGTATCGATCTGATGAGTTAAGTCCTTTTCATTATACTTAAACTTTGTTCTTATGTTGTGCTGTAACATCACTGTCCCAGGTTAAGGGGGGGGGGGGGTGGTTGAGCGCTCACAAACAGGTTTAACCCCGCCACATTCTTTATGTGCCTGTCCCAAGTTAGCAGCCTGTAGTT